TTAGACAGTTCACTCTATAGGTACATTTTATAACTTGTTGTATTTTCTGATGATGAATAAAGTTTATTCGAAAGCTTAATAAGTTTTTAAATATGAATAGTTCAGCTGCAATCATACGTGATTCATTGATTAATAAAGTCCTGCCAATAAATTTCTTCACTAGATAGTCTGTCTTACTAATCAGACAAACAATGAATCTTGGTGTGATTTTGATATTTTCTAAGAAACAGACATTGGTCAGGTTCAAGACCAGAGCTGGGTCTTTTCATAATCACCGTTTTCTTTTACTGAGTCACGTAGTATACGGCATAGATATAATCGATTAAGATTTTCTGGACGCCTTTTGGTCAGTCGAAACGATTTTTAGGCAAAATGTATTACTTTTCCTATTGTTGTTCAACAGTGATTAACTCGACATTCTTTCAAAGCATCTTTCTTTTAATTGTTTTCGATGTGACAATAATGAATCATTTTCTCGTATCCATTCATCAGTTAAATTCTTTGTGTTAAGTCTTACTGTTTGTAATCTAGTAATATCCATTTTTTTACATTTATTTATTCATTCTTTTAATGTTGATGTTGACATTCTCATTAATTCCTGTTGAAGTAATTTTTTAAATGGTATTAAATAAACAATAACTAGTTCATCATTTAATATTTCTATTTTCGTATATTTCATTTTTAATTGTCCAATCGTTTGTTATAAAAATTGTATTAATTGTTGTATTTCTTCATTTAATAATTTAAATATAAATGAATAACGTTGACGTATTTGTTGAATTATTATTTGATACAGATGGTGATGCAAATAAACGCAGAGTACGTGATAATTGTAACCAACCGTCAACAATAAATCGTGCTAATTGATTACACCAATCTAATTATTCTTCAATTTCCTTTTGATTATCATAATTAGTATCAAAATGACGAATTAAATTTGATAAATCTAATGTTTCCAATAATACAATATCATCTAATGATCGTGATTTACTTGTTATTTGATTATTTTCTTTTAATAGTTTAATTCGATCTTGTTGTTGCTGTTGTATTAATGAAATTAATAGTAAAACAAATTGATCAACAAAATTTTCTAATGCTATCATATGTGATTCAATGGTTCAAATAATCTTTTTCGTTGATTATGTAATAAACGAATTAAGTTAAGACCCTGATTTAATAATTCATCTAAACTATTTTTATCATCATTTAAAATATATTCTAAAAATTTCATACACATTATCTCACATGAAATTGGATAATTTAAATGTACAACATTACTTAAATTAGTTAAAAGTGTTTCTACACATGTAACAGCCATTGATTCCATTTGATGGTCTTTATCAGAATAGCCTAAAGTGTTCTGTTCAAAGTCGAAGCCAAGCAAGATTATAATTTTGAATGATTCAGACGTCGTATCTGATTCCATGGAGCCTCAGGACTGACACAATATTTATTTTATTTTACTTTGTGCTACTCTTCCTCTTTCGGGGTTACTGGAAGATGCTGAGTGCCAGTCCCGAGCTCCATGGAAATCAGATACGACGTCCGAATCACTCAGAATCAACGTCTTGCTTGGTTTCCACTTTGAAGAGGATACTTCAGGCTGTTTACTCCTAAAAAACACAATATATTGCTACTTTACCGTTTAGAGTTACAAAACGGTTATCTAGAGATCTCCTGGAAAACCGGTCATTAAGACATACTTTCAACTTTGTTTTAGTTATAAAAACATAGCTTTAAGTCTTGGCTATTGAATCGGTAAAAGGAACTTTCGTCACAACGCACTTTCGTCATAGGGGGGGGGTGTACTTTCGTCACATGTGACGAAAGTGCGTTTTTCGGAAAAAAGCATGGTGACGTAAGTTCCCGTGAATTTCGGAGTGCTTTTTGTGGCTGTGACGAAAATTCACATTTTGATGACGAAAGTTCCGTCGAGTATGACGAAAATACCCTTGTTTTTAATGAATCCTGCTTAACTTTCATCACTATAAATACCGAATAGAGTCAAGTACTGTGATATTATTATGTGATTGGGAGCACTTCCTTAGTAAGAGCTGCACCTCGTATTTACTCCATTGCAGTACTTCCTTAACAAGTACTTACAGCGGATTATGTGCCTTTCTCATGAGATAACAAGTAAAACTAATGAAGTGCTTGCTGAGGTAGTACTTCCTGATCGAGTACTGCTTATCCTAAACTTAAAGGATTATCTCTCTTTCTTTCCGTCATGAGTAGAACCAGTGCAGTTTTTGCTGAGGGAGTATTTGCTTCTTTAAGTACTACTCACACTTTAAAACATAAAGAAACATATATAGAATCATATATATATATGGAATCAAGTGTTGTGATATTATTATGTGATCGGGAGCACTCCCTCAGTAAGAGCCGCACATAGTATATACTATACTGCAGTACTTCCTTAGCAAGTACTGACAGAGTAAATAGTGGCGTATATATACGTATAGAATAGTGGCGTATATATACGAAAGAGAACGGCAGTCGCTTCATAACATAAGTAATCAGAGAAAGATTCACTTCTACATAAATTGTAAGTACTTAGTTAGGAAGTACTTACTTACAGTGAACAAAGATTTATTGTTCAAAACTTATCAACTTACTCTGTAACCACTTGCTAAGGAAGTACTACATTTAATGTTCTTTAAATGTGACGAAAGTTCACCACCACTGTGACGAAAATTCGCCTCATGCAACGAAATTTTTCGTGTGTGTGACGAAAATTCACACTTTGGTGACGACAGTTCCCGAGGAGTACCTCCGCCCAACGAACTTTCGTCATGTATGACAAAAGTGCGTTCGTCATAATGACGAAAGTGTGGTGTGACGAAAGTTCCATCATCCATTGAATCGCAAAAACCATAAGGTTCTATCGCCTTTCGTTCTTGAGTTATTCAAAAACTACTGACGGGCATATGAAAATCTATCAGTAGGGAACCTATTCGAGGTACTCTCGGTAGAACTCGCACATTGGACCGCGTTAATAGTAGAATTAACTTGTTATTGTTGTATTCAGCGTTGAAGATTGAATTAGAAATGTGTTTTTGATGCTCTCATCTCTAATGTCATTGCACAAAACATTCATCTTCAACGATATCGCGAAAGCGGATACCTTCTCGGAAAAAGCAATCTAGTTTTTTTTGGTGAAAGACAGAACGTTCATTCTTGCGCCATGCGATCGGTCTTTATTCGTGCTACAAAAGCATAACTGTTTTTTCTGAAATTCTGCTAAATCAGGAGCGAAAAGATCGGAATTCTGCCCGTAATTCTCAATCTTCTTCAACAGAACTCACTTTT